TATATATATAGCTTTTATATGATTAATTATTTTTTTTGTCAAATCTCGCTTGATTAACCGTTTAATGTATAATATTCTTATTAGACAAAACTGTTCATTTAGCCTTACACAACTATTTAGATTTTGAGGTTGCTTATTAGCTAAATTTGGTCTTTTGGCCTTCTTGATACATATTAACGGGGCCTCAATGATACATGCAACTCAACTAAACATACATGGATGCTAATTGTAATCTTATTAATATGTCACCAACAAATCTCAATTATCCAAAATAAATGTTGAGATATGACTCAAATCTTGAAGCAATTTTTTTAACATTAAATGTTCAAATTTTGATTAAAAGTCATCCAATGCTCTGATTTCAAAGAGCTATAGTGAAACTGACCGACTCGACGAGACGGGCCCAATGGTACCAACATTGATCCAATCTAAGCTAAGTCGAGCAACAATCAAGCCATTAAATTACTTTTGAAAGTATTCTCGACACAATTGAAAACATATGTAGATTTTGGCGAGTTAATAACAAGCATAAGCTTGTTCAATCCCGACATCGTTAAGATACTCAAATGTCCATCAAACGATATTCGATCGAAGGAAACTCTCTGGATCATCCGATCAAAGTGGTTGATATTTCTGCATTAATTGCACCCAAAACACTATAAATAAAGTTCACCCATCTCTTTGGGTGGTGCGGCGAGAGGTGCTTGAAGCTTGATAAAAAAATTGAAGCTTTGAGAATAAAATGATGTAGTACAACACTCTTGCTGTGTCGACCGTCGTCAACCGTCGTCGACCAACACCGACTACTGTCGACCACAGCCAACAATCGTTGATCTTCACCGCCTATTGTCGACCAATGCTTATAACCCCCGACTGTTGTCGAGCACTTTTGTCGCCTTCAACCACCGTCGACCATCGTCGACCACTGTCAACCGTCGTCGACCACCACCAATCTTTGTCGACCATCACCAACCGTCATCGATTACCGTTAACCGCCGTCAATCACCATTGACTAGATGCCACCAATCGCTATCAATTGCTGCTAGTTGACGTTGTGACTCAAGAAACTTGGTTACTAATTCACAACTGTGGGTCAAATGATTGAAATTACAATCATTTTTTCATAGTGAAACTCTTCAACAGGGTCGTCCCGTGGTTTTTCCCTTTTCGGGTTTTCCAAATAAGAACTTCTAGCATCATTTTTAGTTGTTTTATCTTTTCTGAGTGTGTTATTAATCTTGTATCACGTTTAGACGATAATCTGTTACTCTACTGCTGCAAATTTTCTAGCAGACAACGCTTATAAAACATTTACATGATTGAATGCATATTTATATTTGATATAAAATTAATTTGTGTACTTTAAATCATAAAAACAATGTCTTTAACTTAAATGCTATGTGAAGCCACCTGTTTATAATAGTTGATAAATTGAAACTCCCACACAATTATAGCATTTCAAGGGCAATCACAACTATTTGAAGAAATGTAGGATATTATTTTTCTAGTAGTCAATGAATTTGTTGAGGTCAGATTGGAAAATACAATTTATCATTGTGTGTGTGTGTGTATATATATATATATATATATATATGTATATATTGAACAATTAGACAAAATGTAATCTTGTCAAACGCCTGAAAGTGCGGTGCAACACCCCACTATATCGTGCCGCATCGCTACCCTAAAAAACCAGAACCACATATTTTATCTTCCATGCATAATTTTTTTAAATGATATTAATCATTTTTTCCACCATCACCCCCTTCTCAAATTCAAATTTTTAATTATATGAGAGAGCAATTTAGAATCCGTTTCGGGCCGCTTTTTTAGTGCGGCGCGACCTCAAACCACGAAGCGTTTGAATTTTTCGGCATTTGAATTACGCGGGTGGCCACCGACCGCGAATTTGTCGATCCCGCGGCCTGCGTTACCCATCCAGAAATTCCAATCTTTGCACTGCGAAACCGTCGCTACCCTAGCGAAGTTGAAGGAGGTTCTAGCGTCTCGACTCGCGAAGCCCCCCTGCGCCCTACGTGTCGCGAATCGACGATCCCGTTCAAAGCATCAAGCCCCCTCATGAAGCCCCCTACTCCCTGCACTCCTTTTGCTGCCGCTTCAAGTACTGAGCCTCCCTTTCTCCCAGATCAAGGTAAGTCCGCTTCACTCCCACTCTTGAAGCACCGGGCGCTCCTCTTTCTCCGTCTCTTTAAAGTCGCGATCGATAATAAGGGTAGAGAATTCCTAGTCTCCTGAAGGTAATTTTAAGAGAAAATTAAAACTAATGATGGTTTACGGTAATTAATTCCACAGTATTGTATTTCCTTCAGCTTCCTATGAAGCTTGATTGCTGTTTCGTTTTATTTGAGGGCAATTTCTTAAGTTGTTATGGTGTTAAGGCTTGCTTGTTGTTGCACACTTTGCAAAGGAAATTGATAGTGTCAGGTCCTGTTTGGAAGGATTCAAGTTAAAACTTCTGCTTAATGATATAAATTTAGCCCTTGAGGGAGTTACATTTGTTCCCATGTATGATTCTGCATAATGGAATAAATTTAGCTTTTTATGGTCTCTTTCTACAAAGATCCTTTCATAAAAACATCCTTTCATAAAAACATTTCATAAAAACAAACAAGTTATTTATTAGTTTGCAGGTGTAGCAAGAGCTCATGCGGTTGGTAGCAAGAGTTCATGCCGTTGGAAAAGAAGGGTGAGTTGAAATAGAGATTGGATGCAAGTGGAATGAGAAAGGATATGCTTTAGAAATACTTTTGGTTTGTTTTATCTTAAAATCTGTATTTGTGGACTTTGTGGATCGAACTTTCATGAAGGCTCAAGTAATTTATTGATCTGGGAGTGGGCATATTGCTCCATCACCAAGCATGGAATCACTTGGTTCATGCGATGCTTGTTATCTGTGTATGGAGCAGGAAATTTGGGTCCAAGATAGAAGGGAAGGAGTACCAAAGATGTATCTGTAATTTTGTATTGTTTTTAATTAAAATTTAGCTTTAAAAGTATTAAATTTATAACTTTTTGAGATTGTCAACAAATTGCAGAAGTCTACTTTTTACATGTTTAGCTCATAAAGTAATTGGAATACAAACCCGCTGTACATGGATTGACCTCACACTAGTATTGCAAATGAAACTTCTCAAATATAATGCGATTCTTTGTTAAAAATGTCTTCAAAGATTTTGAGCTCTTCATATAAGTTATGAATTACTTATGTTATTGGGACATGAGTTGAAGGATAAATGACAAGAATAAAGAATACAATGAATCAAAAAAAATTAATTTGAAAGACAATTTATGAGATTTTGGTTATGGCATTTATGAATTGCGATTTTTTCATCTTCCTTTATCACAATTCGTACTCTCAAGTTAGTTGGACATTTGAATTTTTGAACTGTTTCAAAGTGAAATTTATGTCGATCTCACAGTTCTGTTTTAAATAATTTTACTAAAAAGGAACAACATGACAATTTTGTCAGAAACAACTGTTCCAAAATTGTTTTAACACAGCTGCACCAAACAGACAATTAGTTTATGCTCCTCCTGAAATATCAATTTTATCCCTTCTGAAATATAAAGTGAGATCTGGTTGCAAAACATAAGTTTTCATTGTAATTTTTTTTAAAAAAATAGAATATATGATCTTATCAAACTCCTTAAAAGTGCAGTGCAACATTACACCGCTGCCCTACACTCAACCTAAAGCACATATCTCAATTTTCGTGCTCAACCCTTTTAAATAAATTTAAGAATCATGTGCACAAGTTATTTTTAAATTAAACCATTTTCTTAAATGATCAAAAAATGAAAAAAACTACTATTTATTATTAATTTTAAGTAAAAGCCAAAAAAAAAAGGAGCTACTAATAAAGAAAGTAATAAACAAGCCTTCCCAACGCAGCTTCCCACATAAGGAAAAAACGTTTTAACGCGATGTACAGCCTCCTGTCCATCTGATCCGCATCAGACGCCTGTTAAAAAACTTACAAAGCAAAATAAAAAAATATTATTATCATATTTTTTTTTTCCCTACATCCCCCATGACTCCAGAGTAGGGAAACTCGGAAACGGCTCAAATTCAAAAACCGGCCCATCAACCCCCGGTCCAAATGAGCCGCAAGCTAACGTCCCCGGCCCGACTAACCCGGCCCTGTCGAGAAGCAGAGCCGACGTATCAAGCGTCGGCAAGTACCCCTGTACCTGACCCGGCCGACCCAACCCGCTCCTTTGCGGCTCCGGTCTGCCCACCGGCTCGACCGGCACACCACCATCCCCTAACCGTATTCCGGTCACTTCCTGAACCATCCGGCGAAAGTTCGCCGGATCAGCGTTGATGTAGGTCGTCGGCGACCGCTTCGACGCTCGCGATTTTCTCTTCGTGATCTTCCTCGACGGCGAGCATGCGATTGGACTGCGAGAAGGAGCCGCGATTGGCGGCTGCGGTGGCCGGAGATAGGCGGTTGAGGAAAGGGTTTCGGAAGCGGAAGAATCGTCGGAGAGGGAGATCTGAAGGGCTTTTGTTAGGGCTTCGTTGTCCCGAATGAAGGAATCGGTGATCCAGCTCGCGGAATCGGGGAAGATTGGGCGGTAAGCCCACGCATCGATGCTGGAGGAGTTATCGGCCATGGCGGAGAGTTTGAAAGAGGGAATTAGGGTTCCGATTAGAGCATTCACTGAGACTGCGGAGAGAGGGAGAGATCGTGGGGGATTTGTTGAGGAGGAGAGGGGGGAGTGAGAGTTAGTTATAAAGAGAAGCAAAGAGTTGGCCCCTTGCATTTAATACGGCGGTGGACGAAACCGCGTGGATTGGGCCACGTGTTACGGGTTATTCCGTACCGCTGTAAACCCGGTTCGTGTCGGACGGTACCCGGCATGGGAGAGAGTTATAAACAAGCGATTATAGTGGTTTTAATGTAAATAAATTGGCGTGTGGAAAAAACATTTTTATAACAATCCAATCACACAAAATAGGTCGGACCAGCCGGTCCGACCTTGAACCAAACAACCATTGGGCCGATTTCGATAGACATTAAAAACCCCTTGTGCATAGAACTTACTAGAATTAGGTTGAACTGGCGGTTCAACTTCTGAAGTGACTAAACGGCTCCAATTATGAGGAATTATTCGGTTGAACCTCATGTCCAACTCCGGTTCAATATTTGAATCCTAAACCTCTCATTCTACTGGTTCAAAATTCGGTCCAATTTTAACAACCTGGAAAATACACGAGCTTTGTCAAATGTAATAATTTTCAGTGTTTAGAGGGTTCGGGTGTGGCTCAGTTGGACAGTTGTCTGGACATCTGGACATGGGATCGTCACACATAATATTTTCTTCTCGATTCCCATGCATTTACATATCTAAGTCAAATCTTTCATATCACATACAAACATATTATTATTTTAATTAATAAAAAATGATGGGCACATTTTCATGCAAAATTGTGATGACATATATATGTAAAATCTATAATTATATGTAAAAATTTTTATTTAGGTTTGACCTATGTGAACACGTAGAATTAGAGAGTGGTAAATATAAATCTTACTGAAAAAACCATTGTTGTAATATCTTGATAATAAAACTCTATTCCAAGTTAACTATCAGATATTGAAAAGGTGATATTTGAAGGAGCGTGTAACAATAAGAAGACCTAGGAGCATTTACATAGATACCCCCTGATTCTTACATATTTATGTATCTGACATCTAAACTTTATTTATTTATATATCTACCGCCAAAATCTTTCATTTCACACCAAAAGAGCTATTATTTTGGCTTTAAAAAAATAAAATACAATTTTTTTCATTCGTAGGTGAAGGGTCATATATGTAAAAATCGAAGTTATAGTTTTTTTATATATTGATACATATGAATTGAGTGGCTTGTATGTAAATTTAAGTTTATGTTTAATGATGATTATATATATATATATATATATATGTAATAGTGAAAATATTAGAAAGAATAAAAGGTAATATGATTAATTATGATGAAATGTATGTAAATTTAAGTTTATGTTTAATGATTATATATATATATATATATATATATATATATATATATATATATGTAATAGTGAAAATATTTGAAAGAATAAAAGGTAATATGCTTAATTATGATGAAAGCTTGACCACTAAAAATGACATTGGATATCAAGGGTTTTGTCGTGTGTTAGAAGATTTTCGGCAATAGAATGATAATTTAATATCTCATCAATGTACGGTGATGTAACACATTCTTATATGAAAGAAAATAATGTAATTGTAAGTGTATAGGTCTGTTATCCTCATGAATTAGAGATGATGGAATAACAATAATATTATTTTAAATTTAATAATTGTAAGCAGTTATTGTTGGGAATTATCCACGGATATTCAATAATATTTGGGATATGTCATTATCCAGTATTTGAGATACTTTATTACATTGTATTCAGATACTTCATTACTACGTGGTCAAGGTACTTTATTACACTACATGGTTAACTAATGGTGACTAGCAGGAGATAGTGGATGGTGGTCAACAGTTGTCAGCATGCATTGGTCGATTATGGTCGGAGGTTGTGGAAGCCAAAAGTTATCATCGGGTCTTCAGTCCGAAAAAACACTGGAATTAAACTCATTTTTCTCTTCACCTTAAGTAAAAAAAGGATGTCTATTTTTAGGCTTCAGGGAAGATACATTTTGGTCATTCAGTCAAAAACTCTTTAACACCCATTCAAATGATCCATATTGATTACCCTTAATCATAGAGTTTTAATGACTTCATAATAAAGTGATCTTGGGCTTGTTGGATTATTCTTACTGAGACGCTAGATTTGATTACAAGTACGTTAATTGGGGAATTTATTTGACTCTCCAATAAACAACTCGATGCCTCCAAATGGGTTGTAATTGTTTAATTCAAACTCAAATTGGACCAATTTTTTTATCATTAGGTTCATCATGTCGAGCCGGTCATTTTAAATATAAGTTTACTAAAATCAGATACTTTTTAGATTGAATAAAAATATTTATACTCCAAAAATATCTCGTGATTCAAGCTAAATATCTCATGATTCAAGTTAAATGATAAAACTAGTTGATGATGCAACAATTTTTTATTATTATGACCACAACATTATACGCCATAAAACTTGAAATGCGCAAATAAAATCAAAGAAAATTTTAAATTAATTTTAATTTTCGATTTTTCCCAAAAAAAAAAATTTAAGTTAAATCAATTATCTAATATTGAACTCATATATTTTTTTTTATTTAAAGTGAAAATAGTAAAAAATAACAAAAAATTTAAATAATGCACATCATGACCCCTAATTTGATTTATCGGGACAGATTAATGCCAGTTCAATCATGTTAATTTTCAGGTCAAATTTTACATTTGTGCAAATTATTTTATTTCAAAACAATCCAATCAGATTTGATTTCAAGTAGCAAGAAACAATTATATAATTATTAAATTTTATCACCATCTAAAAAAAACTATTGCTTGGTGCTTTCATCCATCCAAATTATTATCACGTGTTCTATAATTAATGAGATTAGTTTATATCTGAATATAATCCATTCATAGTCATGCAATATTTTTAAACAATTATATATCCTTGAAAAGGTATTTATTGTTTTAAAAAATAAAATATTTTCATATTTACATTTGTGGTAAATTTATTTGTGATGTGAAGAAGAAAAATTTGCATCTATACCACACAATTCTCATATATTTACATATCTAACACAAACTTTTATACTTATATTTATAAAATTTTGTCATTATAAATTTCACCGTTAGAAAGTAAGCAATGAAATGGGCGTGTGTACTCTAATGTGACGATGGCTGTCTTCGACGGTTGGTTTGTCTTATGCTAGCTTGACTACTTAGATCAATAGATAGACTCGATTCAACCACTTTTTTAAGCGTGCTCGCTCACTCATTTGATCAGATGAGCTCTGCTCGACCAATATGACGGGTGGGCTTAATTTGAGAGTACCCATGCGTTTTTGTATCAATTTTGAAATAAACTTTGATTGATCTTAATTTTTTACGAAAATAAATACTAAATATTTGCAAATTTAACCAAGAACAAGATTAATGAACTCCTGCAAATAATAGACAATATCGGGTTGATTCAGGTAATTACACAAGTCAGCGTTAGACCGAACACCGTAAAACATATTTAAAAGGGTATCGCAGGTCAAGCCGCGTCGTCGGTGGCCCCACACGTGAGCTCCAGACCCCTAAACATATAAGTATATAAACAAGCAAAGCACACCCAGAATGGCACCCACAACAGTATTGTGGGCCCCACTTAAACGCCGCAGATAAGGGCTGAAAGACGCTCTCGAGAAACATCATGCGCCAGCGCTGACGTCGCGCCGTGTCCATAGGACGTGTCACGTGTTAACCACCATCACACCATGCGACGGGCCGTATAGTCACCTCCTTGCGACCCTTCTTATCTACCGTTGAAATACACATCTCCACCGGCATGTGCCATGTGTCGCATAAATTAGTACGGAGCGCCGCAGAACAATTTCAAACGGAGGCCACGTCGGCGGAGTTCTAGAAACGTTACTTGACGGTAACGGCGGAAGCTTCCGGGACTTAATGATGCTAGTTTATTTCATTAATTGGGTTGTTAGGGTGAGATTAAGATAAAAGCGGTCATAATCATCGGGAGATTAGGGAGTTGCTAATGCAGACATTGCGCTAATCAATGGATAATTAATTTTTTAATTATATGGAGAAGGAATTAAATAAAGAAAATTTTACGTAAGCAATACGCGAGCATGACGTCGGTTTTTAGGAGTTATGGATCGGCTGAGTCAAGTGGCCGAGTCAATGAATAGTCGACCGAGTTGACCATTAATTGCTTTTTATAGGGTTTTCAATTAAACAACATGCAAGCCACACATTTCTTATGTTTTTTACATATCCAACAATTAAATTTTGACATTAATATCACTTTGATTTGATGAGAAAGATTCGCGTGTTAGAAATGTTAAAATTAAATTTCAGGGGTTAGATTTGTAAATTCATAAGAATTGTGTAGTTTGTCAAATGTATGCATCGGCAGTTCATATATATATATGTGTGTGTGTGCGCGCGCGCGCCGCGTATTCATATCAGTTGGTCCAGCATTTGACTGTCAGTTGTAAGTCCCCTCTGGTCTAAAAGAAAAATTTGCGTACGTAAGACGTACGCAGCGCTGTACATCAGGGAGGTTATTCAAAGGGTATTGAGTGTGTTATATCCGCGTTACATCTCTGTAACCTCTTTGTAACATACCTGCAACTTACTTGTAATCTACAAATATATGAAAACAGAAACACAGAATTTACTAGAAGGTACATGTAGGCTACAGTTAGATTGCATGGAGGTTACAGAGGGTATAATGCAGATATAACCCCCTAATACCCTCTGAATAACCCTCTGACGTGCGCAGTGCTGCGTACATATTAAGCACGCAAATTTTTCTCCAGTTCTAGGGTTCGATTCCGCCAGTAGAGGGTGTAGTGCTCAAATTGTTAGGTGCATCGGAGATCTTCGGGGCTCGTATAATAGCCTCATAACATTCTTTTTTTAATATATATGTATATTATATATATATATATATATATAGCTAGAATGGTTGCCTTTCAACGCAATCAATGAAATAGCGACAGCACATTAAATTAATATTTTTACAAAATTAAACATAATTTAAAATTATCATAATGAGGGGTTGAAAAT